TATCTTGAATGACACCACAGAAAGGATGTGCTGTTGTATTCTGCAAAGTCATAGAAGGAAGAAAAAGGTTTCTACACTAAACAACAAAATAAGGACCAGGTCAGGCAAACGTTTTAGCAGGTGCTTCAAGTACCCAGAACCAAAAATGTGTTAAAACAACAACAAAACCCTCCAAAACCTCCACCTCCTCTTATTAAAATTACCTACAATAGATGAATCAAGTAATTGGAAAAATTTTAAATGGGCCTTTTGTTTGTAATGTCTAAAGGTAGGCTCCTATGCTCGGATATTAGTTCCTATAGAAATATGTTTTTTAAAGCATCGACCTGAATTAGGAGTAGAAGTTCTGTCAACTTCAAACCCTGATGTGGACTAAGATGAGACTGAAATGTTTCAGACTTCCTGACTCATGAAGGTTCGGTACATCTGTTATCATCACAGCACTTGGTAATACCACAATATAGAAAAATCTGCTTATTAAATTTGCACACTGAATGTTTCCATCTCACATCACATATATGCCTTGGAAGCGTCTTTTTCAGAACAGACAAACTGCTGAAATTTAGGAGTTCTTACAGGTAAAACCTTTATATGAGCAGGAAAGGAACAATGCCATAGAGATGCAGCACGAGACTGAAATTTGAAAATTCTCATTCAAGTCTCTGCTGTAAGAAAGACTCTTCACGCAACCTTGTGCTACTCTTGAGATTCTCTGTGCCTTGGTACTTTGTACCCCATTCTCAAAGATTTGTGACAAATATTCAGGATTGCCCCTTGGCACTCTGACACTGAGCCGCGTCAGAATGCCAACTAGTAGAAACAAATTTCTGAGTGATAAGAAGCTTAAAAACAAGTACAAAACCCCTAATAGCAAATAAAGACTGTAGAAACTAGTAACATTTAATTAAAAAAAACTAACCGTAACAGCAAAACTTGTGTTTCACACAAAAGATAACTGTTGAGTTAAAAAATACTGTCACTTGATTGGAGATTATAAAAAAAAAAAATAGTATTTCACAGATTTTCTGCCAACCTATTTGGAAAATGACAATATAATCACAACCTAAACTTCCAGTAAACTCAAAAAAAAAAAAACCAACCACAAAACCAAGAGTTATAGATGAAGCAAATTATCACCTTCTGAGAAGTTGTGCATATAGAAATCCTTTCCATGGTACTAAAAAAAAATGCCACTGAATTGCATCCTGCAAATTCAACCTTCTAGCAGCTTAATTTGAAAGTGAGACAGATAACCCTAATTAAAAAAAAAAAAGAATTTATAGTCTGAGATGGAACTTCAAATTTAGTTCATTTAATCATATCACAACACACAATTTTTATGAAGATGTAATATGATTTCTGTATTCTCCTTGGGGTGGCATTCATCTGTGCTACGGTCTTGATACCAATTTCTAAAGCACCAGGCACACACGGATACAAATATAGCCAAGAAAGGATTAGTTTCATACGTACAGTGATGAAAGTGATCCAACTGGAAAGTTTGCTGCCTAACAACTCATAGCACAGATTGTGATGAAAAGGACTACTGTGCCTCATGTTAACTGTATGACAAAGGATGTTAGATGGACTGCTGAGCAAACAAGGTAGTATATTTCAAAATTATTTCTTCCACAGTTGGCACAGTGAACAAGATTCACGCCCATGCAATCTCACTGAAGACAACAGACTCAAATGTTATGAATATTTAAAACATCTAATCACATACAAACCTAGATCAACATTAAATTAAGTTAGGGAAAAAAAAGTAATTTAAATAAAAAAAAAAATCAATAAATTAACACAGACAAAAATAGAAATATTTGACACTAAAACTAAACTACTGAGGCAACATTTAAAAGTGTCTGTAAAAACACTGGATGAAACTTGAACGCATTGATTGGCTGCAACTCCTCTCCATCCTCATCTCTTGGAGTCTTCCAGATTCTGATTTTCACCTCTCACAGAAATCATCTGAGCTGATGAAGACTTTCAGATGAGTAAGGCAACTGAACACAAGCCTGGCTGTTAGGAATGTTATAGCTGAACCTTAGCTGCAAAGCAACAGCTGCAAGCATGCATCTGCATCCGTAACAACCACTACACTTTAAGTGCAGTTCTAGGCTTATAGCTGAAGTAGCAACTGCTTCACCTTGAGTTAAATCTTTATGCCATGATTTAGACCCCTTACCACTTTTTTAAATTTTCCATATTCTTAAAAACTAGCTTACAATGCTCCTATTTAAACCCTCTACTCATGCCATGAAAAAAAAGCAACAATCTTTGCTCTCCAGCTTCCACTTAAACCTGAAACTACCATTTTTAGGGTTTTAGGCCCTAGCAGATTCTTTTCTATTAAATTTAATCAAATGCTATTTTAGTGATAGATTGCATCAATTCAAAGACTTGGTAAGGTGAAGAGTCAGAGAAAAGCTATTAGGAGTTTACCTGAGAGGCTGTTCCAAAAATACCCCCCATACATGCTTTGATATTAGTGACTAAAGCCCTTAAATGGTTCCCCAAAGCCCACCTTTGCCATAATACCTACAAAACACTTGAGAACAATTAGCCAGCTGATGTGCTGTGAGCTTATTATACCATTTATAAATGACTCACACCCTTACGCTTCGGCTCCCCCCACGGCTGTCTCTGTCTCTAACCAAAATTCAGACTGCAAGAGCTCTGCAGAACAAATCACCTCTATCGTGTCTGTGCAAGGATCACAGCGTAAGCCCTGGCTCTAGACACTGCCTTATTACAAAAGATAACAAGAAGTGTCGTCATGAAGGCATCAGGGTTTAGACCACCTTTGTTCTTAAATCAGATGAACTAAGGAGGAAGTTTATCTTGAGAGGTTTGGACTACTGACGAAATACGTTGAAAGCAGACCAAGATATGACTTAAACGTGCTTTGTAACGGGGCTCTCAAACCAAAACTAGGCAGCAATAGTAGAGGGTTCTGCCCCATCCTCCCCAGGAACAGGTACACACACATACCCGTAAGAGGAACTCAAGCCCATCAGCAATGAGCACTGACAAGTACAAGCCATGCCAGGAGTGCTTCACCCCGCTGCTCTCTCTTTTCTTCAGTTTCCTCACTGGCAGCCTCACAAGGCTGCACTGGAGTAAATGTGGATGGGCAGCAAGCAGGACGGTCTGTAGCAACTGCTGCATGTGCAAACACAGGACAGAGACACAAACTGTTATCCTCCAGGGCAAAGCACAGCAGACGAGAGGCCGGGGCTCGCAGCAGACCAGAGAGGACAGTATGTGTATGCTTGTGGGAGGGACAGGGTAGAGTACTAAAAAGAGGATGATCTTGATATATAACAACAGTAGACCTGAAACCATTTATCAAAAATATGGAGTCTTCCCTTTGGCCAAGAGAATTACCCCAACTCTAAAAAAATCAAATTACTTTTCCCTAATATTTTTTCCTTCCCACTATGACTAACAAAGAGTACACAGCAACTGTAACACACGAGCTCACAGAACTCCCCAGGCTCACAGCAGTCCAATGCACCGACTGGAAGCACAACAAAGGAAGCGAACTGCGGACAGTCACGGTATATAACCTGCTCTCAGACCAGAGGCGTGGCAGGGGGATATACCTGTACCAGGGATAGGGTGAGGTAAGACGATGCAGACTGTAATCCATTATTACAGGAATACATGGTCCACTTTCATTTTCCAATATGGCATCAGTAAAAAGACAAGGATATTCTTTAGGAAAACTAATCGATTTGAGGGCCATACTGCCTTCTTAACAGCATTACAGTACTCAAAAATATTTAATCTAAGCTAGCTTGAAAAAGCTGTGGTCAATGAGATTTTGTTTCTCAGATACTGACTTTTTTTGACCAGTTAGATATGTGTTTGCCAACAGGATTTAGCTCCTGCTATATTCGAACCATCTTTAATCCCATGAAGGCTACAGAAAAATGTCTCTGATTTAGCTCTGTGCACTTATGAATAACTCAAATACTACAGTTAAATTTACAACATAGTTCCCTTAGCTGTTTAGAAGACAATTGTTTTCTTTCCTTTCCCCTTAAGTTCTAGTATGTAAAATATCATAAGAATTTAGATTTAAAAAAAAAAAAAGGACATGTTATTTTTAAAGTTGTTCTTGAGAAAATTTCCACATACAAAACCGTGGCATTTCTCCACTGGTTTGAGAATAATTTTCACACGTTGGCATCATCCTTGAGTGGCTGCCACAACTCTGGTATCATAAAGCGACATGTATTTTCTCTTAGCTTATCAAAACACATTTTATTTAACTGCTAAATTTGGTCTGATCCAAGTTTTTCTTCTTACTTCACAACAAACAGGAAAAGGCAGATGCCGTACTCTGATCGCATACATGCATCCTACCAGAGAAACGGGGCACGGAAGCCAGTCAGTCCTCCTAAGCGTACGACTGTTCAGATCACATCGCTGCACTCATGGCTCAATAAGACTTTAAGTTCACACTAAAATGTTCACATTATTCGCTACTGTTCTAGAAGTCCTGTCTAGGTAGCACTGAAAAACAAATTGTTTGGCCCCTTCTGTTATGATGCTGGAACATTGTGTCAATATACTTTGGCATATATTAAAAAAATCCCTGTAATATACCATATACTGTGACATTTCCACTTCAGATCTATCATTTACATGTGAAGCACGAATCTCGAAAGAACCTAGTAAAGCTGTAAGAAAGACTACATTTTGCCGAAGCTCTCAGACACCCACTCCATTCAGTCACACCAGCTGGAGAGGTAAGTGTCAAGATACAGCTTTATTCTTAAAAATTAATATGGAGGTGAAACTCCACAGCCCTCCTCCACAGCAATAATTTTTTTAAAGTGAAATCACAATGATATGTGCTCCTGATTCTTCTATGTCAGCAGCATTTCTCAGAAACCTTTTTGCAAATCTGGACATCTTAAAATCATATTTAACTTATTTTGCAATTTACAGAATCGTCCCTGCACTTCCCAGTCCAGCTGATAGGCGTCTTAGACATGACATCCATTGGAAGATCTTTTGCTCCTAGAGGTAGAGGAGTCCTTAGCTACCCTCTGTCTAGCGCAAGAGGCACAAATAGCCCCCGAGAGACGCTTAAGCCCCTTCTGAAAGACACTGTTGGAGAGACTGTAAATGACACAGTTGCAGAAACTGTTGCTAATTGCAAGCCAAGTGGTCAAGAAGGATGCAATGCGGTTACTATAGACATTGGAGCTCTCCAGCAGAAAATAGATTATGTAGGGCAACCAGAGGATATAGAAGACACTGGTGATGCGGAAAAGAACCATGGCATAGCGCTTGTCCGGGCAGGGCTGTGCCTCCCCAGCCTCCCCGTCCTGAGAGCTGAAGCGCACTCGCCTCTCGTTGATCTCCTTGGTGTGCTGCTGGCAGATGCGGAAGATGTTGAAGTAAGTGAAGCAGACGATGAAAGCAGCCGGGGCATAGAGCATCACCACAATGAAGAGGGTAAAATAGGGATCGGTGTTCCAGGAATTGGCACACCACTGAAACACATCCCCGTGATATCCAGGCTTTCCCCAGCGAAAGGACGGTAAGAAGACGAGGCAGGAGTACAGCCAAATGATCAGTATGCAGATTCGAAGTCTCCATGGGGTAACCAGCGTGTTGTAGGTCAGCGGCTTTGTGATGGCAATGTATCTGTCAATACTAATGCATGCCAAAGAGGCCATGGAGACGCTCTTCAGCACTGATACCACATAACCAAAGATTTGGCAAACCAAGGACTCACTTAAAACAATAGGATAGTGCAGCAGAGACAAAGAAGGCACCAGACAGCTCACGCCCACCAGGAGGTCAGCATACGCCATAGTCTGGATGAAGTAGCTGGTGGTGTGGTGGTTCAGCAGAGGTGCACAGTGAAAGACAAATATCACAATAATGTTGCCTGAAATAATCAGCACCATGAGGAACACAATAATAACCACTTCCAGGAGGCAAAAATTGATGGTCTCCAAATAGCTAATGGCCAGGAGACAGAACGGCCGGCCACTCTGGTTGCCAACCAAAGAGGAGTTCATCTTGAGCGCTGCAGTGATCTCTTTACTTCATGCTCCTGCCTGCTGCCTGCAGCCACTCCAAGCAGCTGCTGTCATTGCGGCTGGTGCTGTGTGTGTAGCAATGTCAAAACCGGAGCTCCAGTCCCCAGGGCTGCTCCAGATGCTGCTGCTGTGCATTGTCTGCAGCACAATTCCCCTTTAAATCCGGCTCCCCGCCGCTACTGGTGCACCGGGACCCAACAGCAGTCATGTCAGCAACTTCACACACACACACACGGGAGAGGGCTGATTTTAAAGCCCTCCCGGGTGGGCTGCCTCGCCGAGGAGGGATGAGGGGTTGGGGGAAGAGGGAGATGGAACCTTCACCGAGTCAGGACGAGAGTCCTCCCAAAGGCTGACAGAAGAGAAGGGAAAGTGTTTTACAGAACCGCCTCTCCCCCCGCGCTACCACCTCCATCGCCACCCCTCTTTCCCCACGACGGCGCTTCCCTGCCGCCGGCCGCCG